TCTACCATCAGGTAATAAATTTGAAGTCAGGTCAATAGTTGGTAATGGTGGATTAGTTGCAATGACTAGATCCCAAGCCAAATCTATTGTATTCAAGGTATGCATCTCATTAAATACTGTAAGAGTAGAAGACCCAGTATAGCTATCTGCTCCTCCACCAAAAATATACATTTTCCCATTCTCATCTACAACAACACTACTTTCTCTACGGTTGATGGGAGTAATGCCAGTTGTTGTTGGAACACTCCAAACTTTTGCATTTACATCAAATGTATAAAGTAAACTGGTGAAGTTAAATAAATCAGTGCTTGAATCTTTCATAACTCCACCAAACAAAAATATCTTTGAATTATTTGTTCCGCCAGCTGCAGCTACACCCCAAGAACTTTTTACAGGAATTTTGGTACTTTGAATCCATTGCACACTGTCAACATTGAAATCATTAGTTAAATCCACATAAATCATTGAATCAAGTATAGATGATGTTTCTAAACTATAACCTCCAAGAACATAAAGTTTATTATCTGCCACTACACTAACAGCCGAGTAACGTGATACATTAGGTTCAGAAAATACATCGGCATTAATAAATATCACAACATATATTAAATAAAGCCCTCTTTTATCTTTGAAATTTAAACCCATTGATTATTATTTTTTTTATCAACTATTATTATTTCCCAAGTATTGCATATATTTATCAATGGCTTCATGCATTAATTTTTTTTTGTATTTTCCATTTTTTAATGGGCCGAAGTAAAATAAAAGTACTATTTATAGTAAAGTGATAATGCGACCAAAGATCATTGGCAAATACACAAAATGCACAAAATGCACAAAATGTAAATACTAAATGCTGCAATGATCGATGTCCTAAATTGTAACCAGCGCACAAAATTTTTGAATTTCGGGAATTTCCTGAAATGGAATAATGATAGTTGTATGACATGTCACATCATATTGTATTAGTATTATATAGTATGTAAATTTAAATTTGAAAATTCGTGTCACATGAAGCTTTGTTATTGTCACCGATTAAATTTGGGAGAGCGTATTTTAATTGGCGATAACAATTATTTTTGTTTTGTGTGGATCAGAATGAATAGGGACCAACGAATTGATTTTGGTATTAGCGAATAATTTTGGTTAAAGAAGATAAAAGTTTTAAATAAAATATTTCTATTTTATTTATTTAGTTTCGACTAAGGAAAACTTTCTTACAAGTTACTTTTACATTAGGTCGAAATCAAGTACTTTATACACATGTTCTTTACATATTAATATTAGCCCGAATTGCGCGAATCCGCTCGGTTTGGGCGAATCCGCACGTTACGGAAGAATTGTCATTAATTTCTACTAAATAAAGTTAAATAACAATAAATATGAATGTGCTACGGATTGATTAATAATTAAGTACGCGAAACGTAACACGAATTCAGATGATAATAAATAATTATATATACACGTTATTGATAAATAATAAAAATAAATAAAATAAAAATAAAAATAAATAATAGATTAAATAAAATAATAATAAAAATAAAAATAGAAATAAAATTTAAGAGATTCGACCAAAAGATCTGCGTCAAAATCTAATTATTTTTATAATAAACTCGAACTTCGTTGTTAGAGTAAAATGAAAGTACTCCATTAGGGGAAACACGCATAGAACAAAACAACAAAGCTTTAGTTATGATGTTTATTATGTGTGCATTACCTTTCTACCTTGTAGAAAATTCATTTTTCATTAATTTTTTAAAGCATTAAATCCTGGATATCAACAAATTTACCTGATTTACATGTTATTGAAAAAAAAGAACAAAATAAAAATATTTACTAGATGATGTTGTTATAGATAAAAATGGAGATGCAGTTGAATGGGATCCATATGCTGTTTTACAGCAATTAGATAATGAATAGATAACGAATTCAAATTTTTTATGTTCGTTTTGTTCTAATAATTACATTTTAATAAATATCAAATGTTTTATAATAACAATGTTTTTAAAAGTGAGACAATATAAATAGAAAATTGATCTAACTACATCACAATTATGTTGCAACACTATATATAGTTTTTATGTAATATGTAAAGTTTTGGACATTTGATATTTGATTACAGAGGACAAGCTTAATTTGTTGTTTAATTTAAATGGTCAGTATTCTTTAATTGCAGTGTTGTGTCATTTATGGTCCCAATAAATTTTCATTAGAACATTCTAACAAATTTCAATTGGAGTTAGAACGTCCCAAATATGGTTCTACTGAAGTTAACCAATGAAATCTTGATTTATGTAACTTTTGATCATACTGCCTCAAATTCTATGTTTTCGTATTTGTGTTTTTAGCCATCAAAAATCATGCTAAGAGTGCCACTAGGTCCTTTGCCTATAATTTCATCTTCATTAAGAACATAATTAATTTGTTCACTTAATGCTTCATCTTGAATACCAAACAAATGAACTTTACATAGACTAGGATAATAAATTTTACTTGTTGATCTGAATGTGGTATATGAACATTTTGGGCTCAATCATAAATATAATGAACAGTAGCATCAATCCTGCAATATGGTGTTTTACCCTTTGAATAATTTTAATTAATTGATTTTCTTTGTTCTTCTGCCAATTTAATGTTTTTATTGTAATAATTTCTTTCTAATTTGGCCTTGGGCAGATTTTCTTTAAATCTCTTGAGTAATTCTTTAGTTTCTCCTTCTTGGTGAGCATTATAATGTAAACTATTTCTAAAATGTTGACAAGTATCACAAAAGTCAGTCCTGGGACTCATAATTTGAATCTCTGGTGTCAATTGATGACATGGTTTTCTGAATACATCATATTTTAAAGATTTCAATTTGCTATCTTCTTCTAGACCAGCTAGAAAATCTCTGTGTACTGGTTTATAACTCATTTCAGTAAGAATACATTTGATTGGGTTATTCTATTGTAATTGATACTCCTTCCTGGACCTGATAATCCATGGACTTTGGCATAATTTTCTTCAACTACTTCTGCAATATTTTTATCAATCACCATTTTGGTTTTCCATTGAGGCATCCTTTTAATATTACCATCAATTATTGGCAGAATACCATTGTTTATTAGATGATTTCTAATGTTTTCCAAATAAGTCCTACATATTGAGATAGGTTTTTGGAAAAGTAGTGTATTATGATAAAAGTCCTTTTGTTGGATCTGGCTTTCTTTTTAAGGTATCTATTAGTGCTTATTGATCCACCATCCATTGACTTAAGTTGAGCCATTAAAAATATGTCTTGGAAAGAACTTGAAGGTTTCCCTTACTTCTGCAAATTGTTCTTTGGAAACTCTTGAAGAATAACCACATTTATAACTTTTTTCTAAAAAATCAATTGCTTTTTGATATTCATTAGAACCATTATATTTATTATTACTTTTTGTATACTGATATATAAATTTTATAGTTTTTTGAGAAATTTGATATTTGTCAAAATCATAGTATTGTGAAATAATGACAAATTAAATTTTTTATATTTTTTATTTAAGAAAACAAGACTTACAAATTATATGATGAAAATTTATGTACACATAAAAGAAAATGAAATTTAGAATTAAAATAGAGAATAAAATATGCATTCATAATTTTAAGAAGCCATCATATTTGCATCCAATGGAACTTTTAAGAGAATATTATTTGATAGAATGTATATATAATTTGTGGTATTCTTTCTGCATCTTTTCCTTGTTTTGTTTGGAACTTCTGCTTATTAAATGTTAAATAAATTTCATCTGGAACTGCAAAATATAGTTGCCTCTTTTGTTTCATTCTGAAGTTCATTAAGATATTTAATTACTTTATTAATCACATTTTGTTTAATTTGAAACTGTCATTTGAAAAAGTCTGTGATTTGAAGATTTAGTTCCTGGAATTAATGCATCAATTGATTCAAATGAATGTATAGATGGATAACAATAAAATCTTGATGCTCTGTTGTTATTTGTTCAAGCTTTGAAAACTTAAAGATTCCTTTCAGTCAAATTTAATTCACTAATTAAAGAAGCAGATGCTCTACTGCTAAGTTAAGTTTTTTCTTTGCGGATTTCCTTCTTCTGGCTCTTATTTCATATTTTCCATCACCCTTTAACATTTTATGTGAAAACTCATCAAACAGATTACCACAAATGCCACCTGCAACTGATTCATCTTCATATGTTTTTAAAAAATTATGTAATGAAAACTCTTGTTCATTTAAAAATTTTTGATATATTCTTTCTCTGATGATAAATGATGCAAATTGAACCTTGTATTGTTGAAAAGTTGAGTCTACTATACTGTGTAGTATCATGTGAGAAGTATCATGAAAAGCATCAGTATCACCAATAAAATTTTATTATCTTATTAAGGTCACAGGTTCTAACTGCATCCTCCATCTTATCAATTGTAATTTTCTTTTTCCATTCAAAAATATAATAAGAAATACCTCCACATAATTCAAATAATTCCTTTGCATCATCTATGGATATAGAAGAATATAATGAATTAAATAAAGCATATTCTATTTCATCTATTGACCATGTTGACATATAATAGGGTTGCCACTTCTGCAGTTTTTTTACAGACTTTGCTATCTCTCTTTTAGATGAAGTAAGAACTATCATTGTTGCAGAATAATTTGAAGGTACCAAACCAACAACTATTTATATTGTTGATTTTAATTTAACACCATGGAAAATTCATCCAAAGTTTTCCCTTTAAAAACTTTACATTCATTTGATGAAAAATGAAAAACAATTCCTTGAAAGTTGATGTGTTGATAAATTTATTTCCTTTTTTAATTTTGCAAAAGAATACAACAAGTAAAAACCAAAATATGACTTTCCTATGCCTGGATTACCAGTTATAAGAAATAATTAAGCATTTTCATTTTTATTTTCATTTGAATTTCGCTTTGAATTTCTTTCATAAATTTTATTGTAACTCTTTCTAATAAGGTAGGATTGTTGTTCCCAAAGAAGGAAATGCCATTTAGAAGTGAAAAAATGTTATTTTGCACCAAGCTGTCTGAGTCAAGTAATGTTTCCGAAAAAGTTGGATGTTTTCATCAGCTTTTATTTCAAAAGAATCTAAAATTATAAATTAATTAATAAGTCAATTAACAATATAAAAGAATATACAAAAAACATAAAATGTCTATCCTCATTAACTAGATGATGAGAAAAATGAAAGAATAATTTTGAAAATTGATAGATAGAAAGAGTTGTAATTTAAATTATTGAAAAAAACATAAAGTTAAAGTTGTAAACAGTATGCCAAATAAATAAATAAACGAAATGAGTGAATGGAAAATAATTTGTATATTTTTTTGTGCAATTTGTTCATTACCTTCTCTTTTACTTAATGCCTCTTGCAGCATGCCAAGGAACCATACTTTTAATTGATGCCACACAAGGAATACAAGCTCAAACTGTTGCAAATTTTTACTTGGCTTTTGATCAAGGATTGACAATAATACCTGTTATTAATAAAGTAATAATAATAATAATAATTTCATTTATCTAATATATTGTTACTTTTAAAATATTATTAATAATATTTTTGTTGCTATCATCAATTTTAAATATATATTTTTAAAGATTGATCTTCAAGCAGCAAATGTTGATAGAGTTATCAAACAAATTAATAGCACATTCAAACTAGACACTTCAGAGATTTTATTGGTAATAAATATTCATTATTAGATTTTAGATTAGATTGGATTTTTTATTTATATTTATATTTATATTTATATTTATATTTATATTTATATTTACATTTATATTTATGATTAATTTCTAGACTTCTGCAAAATCGGGATTAAATGTTGATAAACTATTGCCAAAAGTAATTGAACAAGTACCACAGTATGATTTATAATAATAATAACAATAACATAATAATAATAATAGTAGTAATAGCAAAAATGAGAAAAAGTAATTGCAATGTTTCTTATTAATAATAAATCAATATCTTTATTTTTGAATAAATGAATATCTTAGACCAAGTGGTGATATAAACAAGCCATTGAAAGCATTTTTATTTGATTCATGGTATGATACTTATGTTGGAGTTATTTCTCTCATGTCAATTGTTGATGGAAGGTTACAAAAAGGTTTTTATTTTATTTTCAAAAAATCATTTTAAAGAAAAAGTTGATTTGATAAAATATTTTTAAAATATTGATTTTTTTTTTCAATAGGTGATAGAATAGTATCAGCTTATTCAAATAATAAATATGAAGTTTTGGATATTGGAATCATGTATCCTGAACAAGTTTCCACTGATTATTTGTATGTTTAATAACAATATTATTATATTATAATATTAATAATTAGAATATAACTTAAAAATTCATTTATATAAAGGCATTCTGGACAGGTTGGATATGTTATATGTGGTATGAAGGCTGCTAGTGAAGCTCATATTGGTGATACATTTTATCATGACAAAATTCCTGTAGATCCATTGCCTGGATTTGAACCTGCAAAACCAATGGTAAAGAAATTTATGCTCATTAATATTGTATTATATATAAATAAATGTATTCATGTTATTTTTAAAAGGTTTTTGCAGGTATATTTCCTGTAGATACTAATGAATTCAATAAATTAGATGAGTCTATAACAAAATTGACTATTAATGATGCGAGCGTTTCTATTCAAAAAGAAACAAGGTAAACAAAGCAACCAGAAAAGAAAAATCCAAAGTGTCATAATTGTTAAATTCATTTATATTTTTTTAATTTAAAGACTATTCGTTTATTTATTCGTTTGCAAACTTGTAGTATGGCTTTAGGACAAGGTTGGAGAATAGGATTTTTGGGTACATTACACATGGATGTATTTAGACAAAGACTAGAAGAAGTAAGGAAAGCACAACGGCAACGTTGAATAATAATGATTCAATGACTTTTATTTTTATGTTTATTGGAAAAAGAAATTCTATTCATAGGAATATGGTGCAAATATAATAATAACCCAACCAACTGTACCTTATAAAGGTAAATTTTTGTTTAATTTTTTAATCAACCGTTAAAAAAATTTCTTTTCTAAAATTATTATTGTAAAATAGTTGTTTATAAAGATGGGAAAGAGAGTTTTGTTCAGAATCCAACGGAATTTCCTGATTCTGTAGATTTACAATATAAGATTTTAGAATTTCAAGAGCCAATGGTTTTAGCAACAATTATATTACCAGAAGTATTTATTATTTTCTGGTTTATTTAATACAAATTTCTAATTTATCTTCTTTACCTTTGAAGTATTTCTAATCCATATTATTATTTTATTTTATTAATTTATCTATTTATCAATCTACTTAAAAAAAAAAGGAATATATGGGTTCTGTGATGGATCTTTGCGGTGTTTGTATAAATTATAATAATAATTTTTTATTTTAATTTAAAAAAATACATGATAATAACACTTTTATATTTTTGTGTTTAGACAAAAAGAGGTGAACAACAAGAATATAATTATCTTGATGAGTCCCGTGTGATGATGAAATATGAAATTCCACTTGCAGAAATTGTAATAGATTTTCATGATGAATTGAAATCAAGATCAAGTGGTTATGCAAGGTAATAAATAAAGCTTGAAAACAAAAACAGTCTTATCTATTGAATCTGATTATTTATTTAGAATATTTCTATTTCTATAGTTTTGATTATGAAGATATGGGATATCAGAAATCCGATATTGTTAAGGTTATAATGATTTTTTAAATAAATAATTTATTTGTTAAATTATCAAGTTATTAAAATTATCAAAATTATTAAAGATGGATGTCTTGCTTAATAAAAAACCGGTGGATGCATTAGCAGCAATTATGCATAGATCGCAAGTTAATCGTGTTGGTAAAGAATGGACAAAAAAATTGGCCGATGTTATACCAAAGTATTAATACTACTATTATTATTTATTTGCTATTATTATATATTTATTGTTATATTTTTCTGGATAAATTTAGGCAATTGTATGAAGTGATTATACAGACGGCCATTGGAGGGAAAGTTATTTCAAGAGAAACGTAAATTATTAAAATTTTTTTTTGTTAATAGCAATCTATAATACATATTTATATTTTTTTTATGTATTTATATTTAGAATTTCTGCATTAAGAAAGAACGTTACTGCTAAATGCGTAAGCTGATAATTTATTTTTGTCGCTAAAACCAATATCATTAATATTATTAAATCAATATTATTTTCTTTTTTCAAGTATGGTGGAGATGTTACAAGGAAAATGAAATTAATTGAAAAGCAAAAAGAAGGCAAAAAGAGGATGAAAATGGTTGGTGAGTAAATTTTTATTTTAACTAACTACTACGATCATTATTATTATTATTAGTAACGACATTCATTATTATTATTTAGGGAATATTGAGTTACCTCAAAGTGCATTTTATGATTTTTTATCTAAAGGTCAAAAGTCAACATCAAAATCAAAAAAATAATTGCAACAACTATGGAGTTAATCCAATAAAATTTTATTTATTTTAAATATATATATAAATAAAGTTTTTTATTTTTTTGAATTAAAATTTTTAATACCAAAGATTTAAATAAACCTAATTAAATAATTTTTTTAGATTTTTAATTACCACTTTTTCTTTAATATAAACCACCAATACCGTAACCAGTAGATGTACCATAACCTTTATAACCATCATGACTACCAACATAAGGAATACCTCCAAAAAATTTACTATCATATCCGTTTCCGTATGATCCAGAAGTACCATATAAAACACCACCGTACAATCCACCGATCGGAGTACCACCGCCAATGAGTCGTTTCTTTAAATTGATGATGCTATCACTACTACCTCTCTTGATGTAGGGAGGAGTAAAGGCACCATGACCTAAATATGATAAACCGAGTGGCTGGAATCCAGCAGTTAATGGTATAGTTGCAGCAGAGGCAATAATTGGAGCTGTCGCTGCTGTTGCTACAAGAGGTGCTATTTTTGTTGTTGCTGCAATGGGTGCTGCAACGGCTTCTGTTAAAGGTGCAGCAACAAACCGTCTATTTGCTTCAGTGTTGTTAATAACGTTGTTTGGTGATGATGATAAATTATCAGGTTCTGCCTCGCGTTTATTATTGTCATTATTATCACCATTATTATCGGCATAGATGTCAAGTGCTGGTTCGCGTTTTTCAGTTGTTTCAATTACTGCTTTTGTTACTAAATATTCGTGTCGTTTATCCATTAGACTGCCACTTTCACCTCTAATAATCGACTTTGCGTCGTCGTCGTGAATTGGAATTGCATTACTGATTGTAATAATGAATGGGATTAAAACCGAAGAAACAAGTACAACGTATAAATTGAATTTTGCCATTTTTTTTTTTAATGGAGTAATATTATTTATTTTATTATCTATAAGAGGAATGAAATTTTATTTTTTTCTAATCTCCTTGACAATTTTATAATAATCGAAAAACGTAAAGGCATTGATTAAATTATCTTATGGCATTGTTACATTTCTTATTCCAATTGATTAAAGCATCAAGTAAATAAAAGATTTATTGATTTTAAAAAAAAAAATCCTAAGAATATTATTTAAATAATGCAATCTTAAAAAAACCGCATTAATCATGAATTAATTAACGGTGAATAGTTGCCCATATGGAGGGCCTTTCAATAGAACTTTTAAAGAAAAGCGCGTCTCGGACATTTTTTCTGAAGTCAATATAAAAAATAACAAATTCAAATATGATAAGAAAAATCTTTGATGAGGTCAATAATAAATTATTTTAATTATATTGGGCATTATACTATATAATTGATTTTTTATACAACTTCAGGCATTAAATTATTCTAAAATTAAATCGGGAGTGATCAATCAATGTTATAGCATAACTAAATTTCCGGAGAATAACTATGCAATGGTTTAAATTATATTCCAGAAGAACTTTAAAAGGTTATTTGCAAAAAGTCATTCAAATAATTTTGATGTGACTCGTTAGATGATAAATATGTTAGTGGAAAATAATACTTGTTATATTCCAAATTTGGGATTTTGATCAAACAAAATATGTGGAATCACATCATATATTGCACCTAAGTTCTTCGAAAAAGAAGTAAAAAATACAAAAGAAGTCAGATGGGAGATATTTTCAGGTTGTCCATCATTTAGTGACAAAGCACATGATCATTATTTAATTATAGACTTGTAAAAATTTATGACCATCAATTTTATCAAATATCCAAAAGAATGTGTGGAAATGGTGAAAAATGTTGAGGTGGATGTTTGGATATGAAATTTTGATTAGCTAATTTGAATTTCAAATAAGTGAATTGCAAATTCACTAAGAGAAAAGATGACTTGCAACGGACTTGTTCAAAATTACTAACTTGCAATTTTGAATTTTGATCCAATTGCAAGTCGCACAAGTATAAATCCACAGAATGTATTGATTTGCTTACAATTTTTAATCAACCATGATCATTTCAAAATTAGGTTTAGTCAAGTTGGCATATTTTGATACCCATCATATCAGACAAAAATCAATTTTGTAATACAAAAAAATAAAAATAAAAATGCACAAATCTTTATAACCTTTACTAGTTTGCTATCATTATATTATATATTATAAAGGATTGTAGTTATTTTTGATACACTTTATTGATAAAAATTAGATTTACATCAAACTTCATGAAACATAAAATATATTTTGATTTTATGAATTTGTTCAACGTAAAATTATTCATTTGATTTTGCTTGGGTTTGGATAGTGAAGCAGTTGGTAGTCCTGACCTTGGAGGCTATACTATCAATCAAATGCATGTTTAAAAAATGAAATTCATACGCTATTCAAAATGATCAAAGACATTTATAAACACTTACCATACACCAAAACAGCAAATGATTGCAATTTCGAGGTGTTCTCATCAGATTGGTATGCATACTGATACCAAAGAGATATTGTCATTGCTACAATTAAGAGAAATAGAACTAGTTAGATGCCATATTTAACCAAATGACTTGAATTACAGATATATATACCTTTTAATCATTTCTCTAAATTATCGTTTTGTTGGATATTATGGTGGCAAACACATTTTCTACTACTTTGATAAATCTAACATTATGTTCATCTCCAAGTCTCTCTCTTGTTTGATGAAATTGCCTTGTCATTTTCATGAATCATTTTCAATTTCTCCACCAGTTTATTGTCAATTAGAAATTAGATTCGCAAATTTAGGAATATTAACTTTCAAAGAGGAGCAACTTATGTTTTTATCACAGGGCATCTTTAACATTGTAAAAAATTGATTGTTGATATTCACTATTATCTAGCAAAGCACTATGCTTATACAACAGTTGGAGGGGTTTTGGTATAAGAAATTTGGGGTTACTTCATGTATAGAATTTCTGACACCAGAACAATTCATATATTTATGGCATTACGACATTGGAGCACGTCAAAAGTCATAATAGTTTGGACTGCATGCATAGTAATTAATTTATTATTTAATGACTTACTCACAAATCATGTAATTTTTCAATTATAACTGCAATTCCATATTATCATAATATCTAAAATCATATTAAATATTATTTACTATTGCAGTTGTTTCACGGATCACGAATTAAAAAAAAAAAATGGCGAATCACATATTATAATTAAATCATAAAAAAAAGGATCTCTAAATAATACCCCGAAATTATATATTTTAACTAGTGATAATTTATTAAGCTAAACATATTCAATTAATTAAATCTGGTTATATGCATATTATCAGTAAAGATTTATAAATAAAGTAATTAATAATCTAAAAATCATTGTATTATTATTATTTTTTATCAATTATTTGAAAAACTTCCAATTCATTAAATCTACTACCATCTACCACATTGATGCTATTATAAGTTAGTAAGTTATTAATTTTAATACTACCATCTACATTAAAATAAAAATCACAAGGAATACGACCAAAAACTGGTAAATGGGCAGAAGTACACCAAATTGCACACTTATAATCATTTTTAATAACGTAACTAAGTTGTGCAGTATTGATATCATTTCTATTATTAATATTAAAAATAAAACTTTCAGTTGTATTTTTATATACACCAGTTCCATTCCAATCACATGGGTTATAACCACCAACTATTTGGTCTGAATTTTGTATTTTGCCAACTGAAAGAGTTTTGTTGATATTATCACAATTTTGATGAAATATAGCTGCACTTAAACCATCTCTGCTACTACGATACAGAAGTTTGAACTCATATTTGACTTCCTTGAATGAGGTATATGGTGGATTTTTTCTATCAATCCAACTTGCAAAAAGCAAAATAAGGTTTTGATTAATTGTCAATGATTCAAGTGTTGGTTTCAAATTTGAAATCCTTGATGGTAATAAATTTAAATTTTGTTGACTATCAGGATATAAATAAGATTGTAAAAGGTTGTTCCATAAAGTTCTAGGAAAAAGTATGTCGTATGGTGCAATTTTATTAAAAAAGTTATCTTTAGAAATACCCTGAAATCTTATTAGAGGAAAAAATTCTTTTAATGTGTTGCCTAAATCAACAAAATTTTGTATTGACCAATCTTCAACATTGATATTAATGATTTTTGGATGTTTGGCCAATCCCCATTTAAGAATGCCTTCCCAAATAACTATCTCATCAACAGAAAAATCATCTCTCTTAAGAATTTCCAATAGAATTGATTTTTCTAATGATTTAAATTCATTTGATTCAAATAATTTTTCACTGTATTCACAAAACTTTTCCAAATAGATGTTTTTCAATTCATTAAAACTTTCATTAGAATAAATCAATTGTAGAATTTTAACTGGATTTTCTTTTATATAATGGTCATAATTTTCAATAAAATATTTCATCGCATATTCGTAAAGCAACTCAATACCAAATTCATCTGCTGCAGTTAATAGTTCCAATACTTCAGCACCAGAATAATTTTCAAATTCTATTTTACATGTATATAAAAATCTTACAAAATAAATAAATTATTAAACAGGTTATTATTATTATAATTTAATACAATAATAAATTTATTTAAACTTACTTGAGAATAGGTTTGAAAATTTTTTCATTGATATTAGCTTTTTTAATAATATAATATCCATTTTCTTTTGTTGCATTACTTAATGCATTGTTAAAAAATGGACAATGAGCTGATATGATAGATGCATGCGCATGAACTTCTTTAATGTTAGATTCTACACCAATACATATTTTTACATCATAAAAATTTTCAGTATTTAGCAACCTCTCATTTTCATTAAAATATTTTTCAAGTAATGAATTCATTTTTTGAA